ACATAATATGATCAAACAAATCCCTTCTAATATTTGATTTAAATATATGCCTATACCATATATATGTATAATTTAATAGAATAATATGTATGTGTGTATATATATGCTAAAATTGTATTTATAGAATTTTATAGGATTTTTTAAATATTTAAGAACATTTTTATTATATTACAGACGTGGCGTGATTATAAATCAAAGGTTTCTGATAAGATACAAAAATTAAGATCAGGAAGAGCAAAAACAGGAAACAACCCAATAAATATAACTTTATCAGATCTAGATAAAAGAATATTAGGAATAATAGGACATGACTACGTAGAAGGACTCGCAAATGTACCAGATAGTTTTCCTGAAGAGCAGATTGTAAGTGAAGAAGTTGATAAATATCAGATTGTATTTTTGTTTAAACGTGTGCTTAACAATGTTAGTGCGCTAACATGTGATAGGTTTATATTACATATAAGGTTCATTCGCATCGCATACTCCAACGTGATTCTACCATAGCTCCTACTCACTTCTATGCGTTCATTGGATGGTTATGAGTAACTGCAAGTGGTTGTGATCAATTGGAACATAATCAAATGAAATGATTACAAACGCGTTCTGAATTACGGGCCACAATTTTTATACAAAATGATAAACTAATGAATGTTTACAGAATGCGATAGAAGAGTTAGCTGCAGGAAATAGAGATATTGAAGATATTGGGCCTGCTCCTATAATCATACCGGAATTGAATTACAATGACGTTGGTGAATATTTCTTTATAACTTCGTAAATATAATAAAATATTATTTGTTTATTACGTTTTTATACTCTTTACATAAACATCAAATTAAAGAAGAAAATAATATTAACAACATACAACTGGAATCTGAAACTTGTATAAATAATGAATCACTTACCACACAAGAAAACGTAATAATAGAATTTGTGGAGCCATCGACATCAAAAGATACAGAAACTGTTATAAGTTAGTATTATACAAAATTAAAATAAAAAATTTGATTTTGTATAGAGCAGATATTTTTATAATAAGTAATTTTTAATTTATATTTTTTTAATTTCAGACCACACTATTACACGCGGTCAAAAAAGATCACGTACTAGTCGTACGTACAAAATATCTTATTTTACTAAATATGTTCATCTTAAATATATATTTCAAAAAGCCATTCCTTATCACTTTTGTCTAAAATATTTTTCGAAAAAAAACTTTTGAGATTTTAAATAAATATTTAAAATAAAAAACATCGCAAGTATTATGAGATATAAAGAATGTCAATAAAAATTTTATATACATGCTATTTTTTTAATTAGACAAATCTTAAATTTGTAGATAATAATTCTAAGAGATTAGCTGTACAATTTTCTGACGCTCGAATAAGTTTCCAAAATATAGCAGATAAACATGCGGATGCAATGATAGTTAGTTATTTATATTAACAATGTTGTAATAGTAAAAAAAACTCAATTTTTAATCTTACAAAAAGTGTGACAAATATGATAATTCTTTTGTAATAATATTTTTTATAGATTTTAGCTAACGCTATGAAATCGCAAGCAGACACAGTAGTAAAAATAAGTGATGTTATTGACAAAATGATTAAAAACGAAGAACGTCAAACACAACTTTTGCAAATGATTTTTCAAGCGTTAAATAATGAAAAATGAGTGAAGTGTCAATTTAGTCCATATACTCTATATACTGTTCTCATTTACACATTTTATTTTAGATAATAAGTTTTTATTTATAAATTACAAAATTTTATATGTCTTAATATAATAAAATTTTATATAGCAAAATACAAAAGATAAGTTTCGACTTTAAACGTGTTATATTAATTAAAATCATCCTGATCCCAAGCACAACGGTAATTGCGAAACCATTCTAACATAATCTGTTTCTGGATACGTTGTGCTATGGCTCGAGGTCCTCTGTGACCTTCCATTCTTTCTTCCAAATTATTTAAATTCATAGGTTCGTTGTTAAAAGAACCTCCGCAAGCTCCATGCAAAAAATGCCGGTTTTCGGTACCTCGATTTTTGAAACTTTTATTATGCCAAATAGTTACATATAATGACCCAATAACTCCTGCAAAATTTCAAGATGAGCATACAGCCCGTTCAGGAAATAGAGGGGGTTAAAGTTGACCATGTCCAATAACGAAATATATCAATTCAACATTTGAATTCGAACAATAACGTCTAAAGCAAAGTCAACATAAATTACTATTTTTTGCTGCTGATTATAAATATGCCTGGTATAGTCTTGCGT